AAAAAAAAAAAAAAGGCTATGAAATAAAAAGGAAAGGGGGAATCAAGGATGAGCATTGAACTTGGGTTTTATTGAAATTTATAACAAGAATAAAATTTAAGGAAAAAAACTTTTTTCTTTCTTTTACTCTAATCTTGTAACTTGATGCCAACATCAACAAATAAAGTCTTGTCAAGCGCTGAATTCATTTCAAAAGTATATAAAGTTGACTATTTTTTATTGTCGTCCTTTTCTCATTTCGTTTCAAAAAGAATAGTAAACATGTTTCAATTCCTAAACAAAACCTTGATAAGGCAGCAAAGACAGTAATATAACTGTATGATCAATATCGGTTAAAAGATTAAACAGACCTTATTCAAGATTATAGATAATATGAGACGGAAAGAGTATAGCACAAAGACATGGAATGAGCACCCCATGCACCCTAAAACAGCGGATTGTCGTACAGTTGATTGGTAAAACGATGATGCCTTTCAAAAAAAAAGGAAAAACTTTCTTATTCCTTATTTTTTTCGTTGTAGGATATTCCTAGTTGACTTGCTCAATTTTTCATTCTGGAGTGATCTTGATAAAGCGGATAAGAGTAAGCCACATCCTGATAGATACGCCATTGAGTATCAAGGAAAGGCTTATACTGGCTATTGGTCCTTATGTGCTGCTATCAATAGAGGTATATATATACAAATGTACAAGGCCCGATCCATATATTCACCTGCTTATTTGTTTGTACAATTAGCAATTGATAAAGAAATTCCAATCACCAAGCCATCTTATTATGGTATTACAGCCTCGGATGAGGAGCTCGCCCATGTATTCAAGTCGGATACTAAAGAACAGTGTCCAATGCTACAGGAAAGAATACGGGTGATGCGTGAAGCGGGCAAAATTTTATGCGAGGTAAGTTCTCGGCCTCTTTTTTTTTCGGTTGAAGGGATAAATAATCTCATGTGTGCGTTGCGCGATATAGAAATTCGATGGATCTTTTGTAAATTGCATAGAGCAAGCAAACGGATCTGCTGCAAAATTATTAGAAATTATTATTGAAAACTTTGCATCATTTAGAGATATTCATGAATATCATGGCACAAAAGGTAACGTTCAATAAGGTAAATCAGTTTGTCTGATCTCTCACATGGAGATGCGTAGTTTATATTTTGAAAAGAGCTCAGATCCTTATCGCTGATTTATGGTATGAAAGTGATAAAAATATAAACTCGTGTCACTTACTGATTTTTACAACAGGGCATGCTTTGATGGTCAAGATTTTGGATACTTTCATGATATAGATTCTATTACTATGTTTGCTGATTACAGAGTGCCTCAGGTATACATAACTTTAAGATCTTATCATCTAGACTAATATGTTTTCTTTTAGGCTTTATATCAATTAGGACTCCTCTCATACTCTCCAGAGTTGATCAAAAAGCTAGAAAGACGCGAGTACTTTCCCTCAGGATCAGAGGAAGAGGTGGAGATACGTGGTAATTCAATTTGGGCAGTTGAACTAGTGAAACAAAAGATGCTTGAACTTGACCCTACGCTACAAGTGAATGCTATTCTCATTGACTTTTACGTTTGGGATTTAGCAAAAGAAATCCAGGATCAGATGACTGTGCCTACACACTGTACAAGAAGCTGCTTTTATTAAGTTGTCCTGTTTTAGATATTAGACCAAGTCAACCTCTGTACATGATCCGTCTTTCTTTGTGTTGGCTTAATAAAACCTAGGAATTGAAGTTCTGCTACAGACTTGATAAACCTTGCCCTATGAAAAACAATTAACAATCGCATTTATCTAAAGAGCATCATTACTTACTGAGCTTCATTTTCCTCTAATGGCTTATCACGTTTTTCCTTTTCAATTACACTGCTAAACGCAACAAACCAGTCATAAAGATTAATCATTCGACCGCACTCGAGATAAAGCTTGTATAATACACATGCATCTGGCTCTGATGGTGCCAAATGCTTTTCCTTACTGCCTCCACAACAAGTGCAGTTCAAGTAATGCGATGGCTGAGTCAGCGCAGTCTGGACCGTGGCACGAGGCTGTGATGCAAATGACTATCCAAAAGCACAAATTAAATCCTTATCGTCTATACTAAGGCATTGCTTTTACATACCTTTTCGAGCAATCGGACATTTGTATAATACGCAATTTCATATAATGGTTTCTTTGTGAATGGTTCTAGATAATGTCTACAGAAAAACATCATGTCAGCTTTTTTCATGACGTATCTTATATTTTGATCTTACCCGAGTATATCATTTATCCAGTCTGCGATATCTATTGCAATCTTTGTACTCTCTGTTCCCAATCGTCTAATGAACTCTATAGACTCATTTTGAGCCTTTTGAGCAGTTGCTGTATGACGTCCATGCTTATCTTCGATATTTGTCATCACCATGCCTTCAATTTTCTTGGCCTTCTTATCGGCCTTTGCTGCAGCGTCATCATCAAGGTCCATCAGTCGCATCAATCGCTCATCCCATTCATTTAACCTTTTTAGTGCTTCTTTGCTCACTCGACTGTACTCCTTTCTCTGATACAGATTCTGCAGCTCTTTCAAGAGACCTTCGATCTGATCTGCATCCATCTTTCGCAGTAAACTGATCAGCTTTTGAATTAACTCGCTTTGAGTAGCATATCCTTCCTTGGCTTCCAAAGCTTCCAAAAGTATCATACGCCTTGATTTTTTTACATAGCTAAATGATGAAAATTGGGATTGTAGTACTTGAACAAGGTCGATTCCTAATACAAAATCAACATAATATTGCTTTATGTTTGCCAACAGTTCTGGAACTTCTTGAATTAATAGTTCTTCATTATCTTCGAGTAGTCTAAGAGCCTTTCGTGGTTTTGTTGTAGCAAGCTTTTCAATATAAGCTCTAAATGAGGAAAGCATACGAATGTGAATCACGTGGTGTGTATTTAACATATCTTTCGATCGCCACTCCTTTAGTCTTTCCCTCATCTTTTGCTTGTCAAATTTCAAGAGCGGTAGAAATATGGAAAGCGGATTGCCGTAAAAATGATGCATATATGCATACTATATGGTATTAGAATCCTCTATTAAATGATGATTGAATCATGTTACCTTAATACTTGCTGATGCTTTAGTAATCGAAAAATCATACAAGTAAAAATGGTCTAGTAAGAACTTGTATGGACGCGGGCCAAATCTTAATGTGTCTGTAGATTCAAGAAATAACTATGACGAACATGTTACTCCCTAGATTCTCTATCTTTTTTCTTTTTTTTTTTTTTTTACCTTTTCTATCACTTTGTTAAACCAGACGTCACTGTTTTCTAATTTAAACCTTTCTATTCTTAGCATATTGATGGTTAACTTTGTCAGAGACTGATGGACGAATTCTGTCGATGTTGCAACACCAATAATGCAGACAATAGGCAACCGAGTTTGATATTCACTATGTTGCACACATTGAGCTTTAAGCGACTTGTTTAATAAGTAGTTTTTACCTGCAAATTGAAAGGAAATCTTGGAGAACATTGGGTTCAAATGCTTCAAAATCTTGTAGAATGACAACAAGATTTGGTTTATGCTTTTCGTCTTTGCTACGATACTTGTACCATCCTTCTAAAAGCTGCATGTCATAGGGTAATGCCTTGCTTTCTTTGGCAAGGACACGTCCAAATTGATAAGACGGCGCTGCTGATGACTTACACAATGAATTAATCACTAGTATGAATCTCTTGTATGGTACTCACTTGTACAGTACGAATGATATCATCATCTTCTTCTTCTTCCTCTTCCTCTTCCTCTTTCTCTAGTTGGTTATCTGCTTTATCTTCTGTATTCTCTAAAGTACGTTCAATCATCAATTTCATCATATGTTTCAATGTTGGACAATCCTTTGCTTGTAACAGTGAAACAAAGTTACGCTTTTGTCGTCCATTTGTCTCTGATGGGGGTTGCTTTAAATCCAGAGCGATATGTTCAAACTGCTTAGCATGATCGGGTGTATTAATACCGGCAAATACGAGTGCTGTTGGAATTTCATGAAATGGTAAGGATATAAGTCTATAACGGGGATATTAACTTCTTTTGTCTATCAACGGTATGTTTCTGTGTGTGTGTGTGTATGTGCTTACTCTTCTTTTACATCGTGTGCCTTATCTACAAACTGTCTAATTTGACTATATGCTGTTTGATTCATATCGACCAATGTGTCCTATTAATATCAATAGGCTTTAGTTTGTGAATAGAAATAATATTATAAAGAAACGCATACGTTGATGATTGTGTTTATCTTGCTCCATGCTCTATAAAATGCTCGCTGTCTATATAATAATGTATCTTCAGGTTCTCTGCCGTTAAATAGCTGTTGGAAGCCATTGTGTGATATTCCTGAACTATCCGTTTCAGTACGATGCCTCAATTTGATTTCTACACTAATTAGTCTTCTTTTTCATAACAAAGTGTCCTTCAAAAAAAAAAAAACCTTTTATTTTGGACTTCTTTTTTGTAAGTTTATCTTCATTTAGCTTCCTTTTCTTGCTAGGCATGACAAGGAAGCATCCCTATTAAATGATAAGCTCATGAAGGAATGATAATAAGTTTCCCTATACCTCAGAAATAGAATCAAAATGATCTCTGACAAATGCTGTTGTATTTGACATTTATAAGAAAAACAAAAAAAGAATACATACAGCTGAAAAAAATTGGTCCATTTCAAAAAAAAAAAAAAAATTGGGACAACTAATAAAATTGACCAACACTACATGCACCAGAAAAAGTACCAGAAAATAGGTTAATACTACGGGTGATTTTTCTTCTAGGCATTACATGTAAGGCAGTAGAATACCCTTTGATATAAAATACGAATTTACCATAATTATATGTGATTGATTCTTGGTTCTTTGTTGATCAAACTGACAGCATAAAATTAGAATACATTAATAACCACATTTCTTTTTTATCTCTTTCTTCTTGAAAAGAACACGAACCAGGACAGTGGCCTCATAAGCTCGTATCCTACATCAAAAAGTATGGAAATACTTTGGTTCCTGAGTAAGTTTAGCGTGGCGTCAAATATTGAAAAGCTTTGTTGACAACATCACAAGTACTAGGTAGGAAGCGAGTCAGACACCGACCTTCACTACAGCGACTTGTTGAATCGTTTGAACTAGCAGGAGGCTACTTCATCTAGCCTCGAAAGCAAAGGCCACCTTCAAGGTAGAAATTCGTGTTTCAAGTATGTTTAGCTGTTTGACTCAATTTCTTTTTTAGAAGCGCAAAAAAGACAGAAATGAGCCAGGCTTTCCAAAAGACAATCATGAATATTGGATCCGTTGAAGCACAGAAGACTCAGCGGCCATTATCGCAGCAAGACAGACGGTGACTGTGACAACATTGAATGACATAACATGCCAAGGCATAGGAAGACGAGAACAAGAGATGAAAAAATGCGTTAGTTAAAATGACCTTCCTGTATATTAACAATTTGTTGTAAAATCAGCTCGATGGCAAGGCTGATATAGGCGCAAATAGTAGCAGTACCAATAACAGTAACAATAGTGATAATATTTCAAAATTGGTGTTCCAATTTTTTTTTGTGGTCCAGCCTATTTTCTTCAGCTGTACGATTAAAGCTACGATTTTTTTTTTGATCAAAGTCACTTTTTTTTCATTTTTGGTTCCTGAAGGACTAGAGTCAAGCAAGAGTGAGAAAGGAGCAGCATACAAAAGTGATGTCTACAGTTTCCTTTTTGAAGGTTTATTCGACCTTCAAGTGAAGGAGAGCAATTAGCTCGGAACACTCAACCTGCTGTGTGCATCCTGAGGTGGATCAATTTTTCTCTTATATTGTAATAAAGACAAATAGCCAATAGTCTGTACACACACACTTTAGGTACTGTTACTTTCCAATTGCAAGCATCAGCTCGTCTCTTATCCTTTTTTTATGAAATTAATCGTGTCACTTTGGACCAGTGGTAGCAATGATCAAACCCTGTGTAAGCTATACAGATAAATCTGATAGAAAAGGGGGAAATATGTGTAATTGGTGTAAGTGAAATGTAGTAAAACCTGGTAAAGTACACGAATCAATGGTGCAAATACTCTATATGTAGCACAATGTTCCAATCAACTTTACTATTAGCAACAACAACAAAACAACTAAAGTGATAAGATAAGAGATCAAGAGATAAGAGGGAAGTATTATGGAGAGCTTATAAACATTGACATTGACATTGTCTGCCAATAAAAGAAAAGTAGGAGAAAAAACGTCTATTCATGTCAGGTTGTACAAAGGCGATTATTTAATGAACAAATGCCCTTTTTCCGCCAACTACTTTTTTTTTTCTCTTTTTTTTTTATCTCCTGGAAGAAAAAAAAACAAAACTATGTCGAGAAAGTGGAAACTATTGCTTTTAGCTTGTTTCTTAATCATTGCTTTCGGTCAAGTATGGTTCATGGTTCGTCCATTGGCCAAGGATTCAATTATACCAGTTCAAACAGACAAAACAACCATGGATCGGCCAATGAAACCAACAAGAAAACCACGAGAACAGTCTATCCTCAATGGATTCGGAGGGTTTGCTTCTCACTTACCAACGATGCAATATAGCTTTGGCCCTGAACCAGTCGAATACACAAAGTTGAGAGAAAGAAGAAGACGAGCAATCAAGAAGGCGTTCTTACATGGATGGAACGGATACAGTAAGTCCTTTTCCAAACGGAAAAGAAAAATGAAAGCTGATTATTGTTTTACAAAGAAAAGTATGCGTTCGGTCATGATGAATTGACTCCCCTAACTAACGGCAGTAAAAATCCTTTTGGAGGATGGGGAGCAACAATGGTGGATTCATTGAGTACGCTATTAGTCATGGAATTAGACGATGAAGTAGCTGAAGTGATGCGAAAAGTTCATAAGATCAATTTTAAAATCAATGAAGATGTCAGCGTATTTGAATCCATCATTCGCTACCTTGGAGGATTCTTAAGTGCCTATGAATTATCAGATCGAAAGTATAGAATCCTTTTGGTTCAGGCACAAAAGCTAGCCGATGCCCTTCTACCTGCGTTCAACACACCTTCTGGATTACCCACACATTATTGGAATCCCGCTAGGTAAATAGGGCAGTAAAGTAACGAAAGGAAGGGAGAAAATAGTAAAATAGGATCCCATAGAAACTTGTCTACACAGCGAGATACTTTACTTGCAGAAGCAGGAACAGTTCAACTGGAGTTTATGATGCTCTCTCAGTTGACTCAAAACCCTATTTATGCAAAAAAGGTACAGATGATTATGGATATATAAGCCCCCTTTGTTTGATTGTTATGCTATGAAATAGGCACAAGCTATTACAGACCTTTTGGACAGCATGGGATATGCGCATGGTATTCATATAAGAGGACTATACCCTACCGCATTGGACGTTGACAAAGGTCGCTTCAAAGATGGTGTTTCCACATTTGGAGCTATGGGTGATAGTGCATTCGAGGCAAGTAATTGTATAAGAGGAAAGGCTTGACTTACAAGTGAAAATAGTATTTCCTCAAGCAATATATCTTGACAGATGGAAAGATATCACAGTATGGAAGAATGTGTAAGCATTATTTGATTCATGCAACATATCAGTTGTCTTATTTAAATGAATAGATAGAGAATCTATTAATAGCATGAAGCAGTATATGCTTCGACAGATACCTGGTTATGATATGCTCATGCTGCCTCCTTTTGATACACGTAGAGAAGAAGCAGATGATTTTATGGATCATTTGGTATATAGATGCAGAATAACTAGTGATGAATTAGTATTAATAATTGACCCCTTAGACGTGTTTTGTGCCTGGTATGCTTGCAATGGGATCCAAGACATTTAATGAACCAGAAGATATGAACGTTGCCAAGGGATTATTAGAAACCTGTGTGTTTATGTATCGTACGACCAAGACAGGACTGAGTCCAGAGAACTGGTGGATCAGGGATACAGAGAAATATAACCCGATTACATACAACAAGACAAGGGGTGAATTAGAAAAAATGCGTGATTGGTGGTATGAAGATGATGCGATACCAAAAGAGTTACCACCAATAGAAAAGCGACAAGCAACAATAGAAAAAGGATACGACGTAAAATATAAACTGCCCAAAGTCAAGAAGCGACCTAGTTCATTATTCTTTGGAGATGAAAGATATCTCTTGAGACCAGAGACATTAGAAAGTTTATTTATATTGTATAGAATCACAGGCGATCAAAAGTATCAAGAATATGGATGGGAGATATTTGAAGCGATTGACAAGTGGTGCAAAACAGGTAGTGGATATGCATCGATTCGATATGTTGATTCGACAGGAAAGTACAATCAAATTGATTCAATGGAAAGTTTCTTGTTGGCAGAAACGTTCAAGTATCTTTATTTGTTATTCAGTCCACCAGACGTTTTATCACTGGACAAGTTTGTATTTAATACCGAGGCACATCCATTTGTTCGCAGACATTGGAATTGGCTATCTGCTTTTGAGCAATGATGACGTGTAAATTCATAAATGCACGATTCAGATTTAATTCTTTATCGTCCAAAAGAAAGTTGTGCTGGCAGAGTAATCTTTCATATAAATTATAGATATCATCCTTAAACATGACCCCTAGTTTTCCACCCCAGGTGCCTAAGGGTAGAGATATGTACTTTTTTTCAATCATTTTATATTCTGTTTGATTGAATAAATGAACCAACTTTCTTGCTATCCTTGGATCAATATCTTGTAAATCAAACAATAGATTATTCAATTTCCTTGACTGTAAATCATGTTCAATTAGCGTCTGATAATAGATTCTCAGGTCCAACTCCATCATTTCTATGTATCCATCAGGCCGTAATACTCTAGTACATTCATTGATCAACTCTTTGTATCCTTCAAATGTAAAATCAAACATGAGGAATCTACAGCTGATGAAATCAATAGACTCGCTTTGGACTTTCTTCAATTCGCGTATCAAATTGTTTGTGGGTATAAACCTAAAGTTCTTTGGTTGATGTTTAGGCAATAGCATTTCATTATAGTCCATTCCAAGAACCATCCACGCTGGACGCATCGAAGCTATCTCAATACCCCACGCCGCGTTTCCACATCCTAGCTGTAGCAACCATTTTTCTTTTTTACCAAGCTGTGTTACTATGCTTGGACTTTATAAATAAACATACATGTACATATCAGTCACCTTTTATATATATTTAAAAATTTATGCTATATATTTTATGCTTACCCATCAACAGCCAGTTTGATCAGGTCATATCTTAGCGCCCACCTTTCGTTATTGCTGTTATCATACTCGTCCATATTATCTAAATCATCGTCATCATCGTCCAGATCATTTGTTATTAAAGCTGTAAAGTTGGGTGAGGCTGGTTGTGATGTGAAAATGGAGTTATTAGATGACATTGACTGCCTTTTTTCTATCAACTCATGTCTCCTTGGACTGTGATTATACGGCCAGCTAAACTTGTATCTCTTTTTATTATCCGAAATACTACTCCATGTACTTGATACTGTCTGCTGTGAATTTCGTCTGGATGATGTTGATATAGTAATACTAGGTCTATTATCCATCAAGTCATTTTTATGATTATCATAATCACTATCATTCTCTTTATGCTGTTTCTTTTCCTTCTTAAGTTTAAACTGTGAGATCCAGTTTAGCAGCCAGGAAGAGTTAGCTTCACTATTCTTTGTTCCCATTTCTTTATTATTATTATTAAAAATAGAAAAGAAAGAAGGACTTAACCCCTGGAAGGGCTGGTTTATTCGTCATTGTTTCATAAGATTGTACAACTTGATAGCCAGGTGACGGCTGAATATACCCGCATATGATGTTGATCTGCATGAATTCACCAGTTGGTTTAGTTTGTCCTTTAAATTGCTTGAAAAAGAGAGATATAAAAACCAAAACTAGAGAGCTTTCCCCTTTCTATCACTTTGAATACGTTTTGCCTTTTATGGAAATTACATCCATAGGGCAACTCGTTTTACACATAAACTGTGTAAAGTAGTTTTACAGGTAGAATACTCATTAAAGCCTTTTTAACAGACAAATCAAGATTTCTGTTGGGGGGCTTATTAAGCTCACTTTTGATTTATATTTCCCCATGGGCAACTTGATTCTCAGGAACGTTCCCCGCCTTCAGGTTCCGAAATATATCTCCAAAGCACGATAAAAGGCTTAAAAATGCAAAGCCTCCTCCGTAAGCCAAGCTGTTGCGAGTATATATTCCTCTCATTCTCTCATCTACATGAGCGATAGCTTTATGTTCCTCATTCCACGCCATTTTCCTTATCGGCTCAACTATGTTCCCGGATATGATGACGACTGCAAATTAGTAGCGGTTCAATAGACTTACTCCTGGGTATTATTTAGCCATTTTTCTTCATATATATATAAAGGAGCTCTAAGAGCCACTGTTCATTATGAATATGGTTTTGAATCAATTTACATGAAATGGTTTGCACAACGGCGCACGACGCGCGTTAGAAGATGTGATATAGAACCTTAGTCAGCCAGAGCTTTTCATCCATCACCAGATCCCCCTTTTTTTGTTCGCAGCTGTGGCAAGAGAGAGAGCATAGAAAAATGAATTGTCTCTCTCTTTTTCAATAAAAATCCGTATGGTTCAATTCGACAAGCCAAGTGATTGATTGATAATCAAAGATGCCTCATGATCAAATACTCAACCACATATGTAACTCTCACAAGTCTTTGCTCTTCCTATATATTTTTATTCTCGACATAATCTACTAATAGAAACACTATTGATAACGGATCAGCTGTAGAGTCACTCAAACATACAAGCAACTTCTCATGATTAAAATGAATTATATTTGCATGAAACGTTACGTTAATTCGTCTAAACTTTCTTTGGTAAAAATGCCGTATTCCTCCGGTTATTCTCCATAAATTCATTCACCGCAATTCGATCAATGCAGTCTTTTCATATGGGATGCAATCGTTTTTATTGATGATATTCTGTTTTTTATAAACAAAGAGGGAAATAAATAAGTTCTAAATAAAATAAAAATGTACACAAAAAAGAATAAATAATGAATATAAATGGTTCTAATTTGTAGTAGACGATGCTTCTGTCATATGTACAAAACGCTCCAACACATGTAAAAATCCTTCACGGCCAACTTGAGCGTTCTGTTGGAATCGTTTCAATGAAAAGTCTTCAATCAAATTCTCCCATCGAGATAAAAGACTTCCTGCGGTCATCGTTGCTTGTTGTGTAAACTGTGTTCTATTAAAAAGAAAAAAAATTAAGACATATAAAAAAAAAAGGTGGCTTAAACTTACTTTCCGGGGTCTTCAGGAGCTACGGTATACGTTATTTCTTCATTGACTTTCATGATATTATTTAATGAAAGGTTTTCACTTAATAAAGTAAATGTTTTTGAGTTTGGATCAATAGTCGAAACTTCTCGAACGTATTGTGTTTCGTCTGCGCCCATTATCTAATCGTTATATTATTAGTATTTGTCGTCACCATTATCACTATAAAATAAGTACCTTTAGAATAAATCTAGGCACATTCTGTTTGACAGTAATCAATCTTTCTGTTGTAAGTATGCCTGTTTCTGGATCTACAGTTCTATTCAATACGTCCACATGTTGAACATGAGGACAGTGGTCGTTTGGGTATTTTTGCCACTGTGCTGCTGAGACTAAAGTCCATGGATAGTCAAATGTGTGGACCGTCTTGAAGAACTTCATGGTATCAACAGAAATAAAAAAGAGAATAAAAGAAAGAAAGGGAGAAAGAGGTCCAAGCTCTGATTTATTTATACAAAAAAAAAAAAAAGTTTCGTTTCCGCTCTTTGACCAATCATAAGGATTGATCTTTTTACAAAAATATATGAATGTGAACAAGAGAACGATTGGTTCGGGAATACATTTTATTCTTTAATGTTCAGCAAGATCCTTCTTGAACTGCTCTTGAACTTTCTTGTAATATTGCTCATTAAGCAAAACTTCAACACCAGTAGCAGCAAGACACTTGGAAGCAGTGATCGTATCCTTGTGAGCTTGAATTGTCTTGGCTGCAGCTGTAAATTCAACTGTATGGTTGGCAGCAGTGGTGTGGATACCGTACAACGGATGGATGACGGGTACCTCATAACTGACATTACCCATGTCAGTAGATCCTCCTCCTCCACTTTCTTGTTCGTATCTTGGTGGGAACTGGATACCATACTTTTCCATGTAGTGTGCATATGTATCAGCCATTACAGAGTTTTGGATCACATCTTTGGTGATACCAATCTCTCGCCAGGTATACTTGACTTGACAGCCAGTGGCTAATGCAGCAGCTTCAAAGCAGTCCTCCATCTTCTTTATTAAACGACCTGCTTGTGATGCCTTGGTCGTACGAACAAAGAAGAAGGCAGATGTGTATTCAGGAATAATATTGGGCTAAGGGAGAAAAAAGCATAAGTCTCTCTCTGTGTGCTATTCGTGGCGTTATTTTATACTTACGGCTTGACCGCCATTTGTAACAATACCGTGGACCCTGTCTGTAGGCATTAACTGTTGACGAAGCATACTGACATTGTTCCACACTTGAACGATAGCATCCAGTGCATTGACACCTTCCCAAGGTGATGCAGAAGCATGGCTAGGCTTACCAAAGAATTCGACACGAACATCGTGAATAGCAATCATTTTGCCATACTGATGGTTAACTGCACTATATATATATATATATATTGTTTATATTACGTTATTTTTTTAGATCATTAATACTTACGCTGGATGGAGCATCAAGCAAACATCAACATTATCTTGGAAGGCACGCTTTTGAACAAGCACGATCTTGCCAATAGATAATTCTAAAAGTGCATAAACGATTAAAACACAGCATTTGAGACATTCATGCCTTTTTTTTTACCTTCAGCTGGAGTACCAAAGAGGATGACCTTTCCAGAGGCCTTACCACTCTCCAAGGCAGCTTTGATACCTATGGCTGTAGCCAAGCCGCTGATAGCAATCAAGTTGTGGCCGCAACCTTGTCCCAAACTGTAAAATATGTTTATTACTTGTTTTTTACAGCATTGTCTTCTATAACTTACCCGGGAAGGCCATCATACTCTGCACAGACACCAATTCTTCTACCGGGTCCATTACTGTATTCAGCAGTAAAGGCAGTATTCATACCATAGGCATGGCGTGTCACTTTGAATCCTTTCTTTTCGAGATACTTTGTGAGGACATAATGAGCATGAACTTCTTTCATTCCTGTCTCCATATTTTCATGCAACTATGGTAACTGTTAGTAATAAGATCGTCTATATATATCTTTGTAATCATTACATCCAAGCTAATAGCACGAAGCTCATCATTGATGGAATCAATAGCATTATTCACTGTATTTTCAATTTCACCAGTGCATTCAATATTCAATTTCTTCATTTGCTTTTTTTATAGAAAAATGAGAGGTAAATATATTTTATAAATCATTTTTTATATACTTGGCATATTTACTTGAATACAGTCCTCATAAGGGGGCAGCTGTTCCATTGGGTCAACAGCAGAATACACAAACTTTTCATCGAGGCTCTTTTTAGCTGGTGCTTCTTGTTTTAAGAATAACTTTGAAAACACGTTTCCGAGGCAACTGGTCTCTGGTTGGTCGTCAGGAAGTCGAATAGGTGCCATATTATGCAATATCAAGAAAGAGAAAAAGAAGAAAGCAAGCTGAAAACAGGGTTTATTCTTTTTTTTTTGAAGCGGAGGGAATTTTTGGAAATATTTAAGCTGTGTCACTTTGCTTTTAGATGAAGAACCGAGCAGTCGGCGATAAATTGTAGCTTTTTTCAAATGGGTTATCGCAAGCAATAAAAGAAAAACTTACTTCATTCCCGCCCTGTTTAGGAACTAATTATAACATGTATCTCTTGAAGGGGCACGAATTCTTATATAGTTTAGATTCGCTCTCGTCTCAAAACCGTTTGACATTCATTTTCCGAGCCGACACACCACAGCGTTACTTATAAAGTGAAATTGTTTGTCCATTGTAAATCAATCGTTGTTGCCTTCGTTTCACACTTCGATGTGGTGGTATGGTTTTCAGGTGAAGAAAAAATTGAATTCGTTATCTTTGAGCCTTCCGTGTGTGAGTTAAAAGGTTTCAAGTAGAATTGTTCAAAAGTATATGATCCATTGGACCAATGAGCGTGCTGTTTAATACTATCAATAGCATTGCCACTTTGTACTATGAAAGCGCTGGAAGCTGACCAAAGTAAATGTGCTTTATATTTCTTTATATCAACGCCAGCGCATCTCATATGGCTTTTAGCCCAATTGGATACCGTGCTAGGCAAGACAGAATGAACAGTAGTTATATCCTTAATGTAGACTAAAAATAACGTGTGGCCTTCTGGTAAAGAAGTACGCATTGAAGAAGCCTTCTTGACAAACATGTGTAATGTTCGGACAGGGCACACGTTTTTCTTCGTCGTATCAGCCACTCCAAGCTTTGATGTCTTAAAGTTTGCTTCTTTGGGTTTTCTGGAGAGAAGAGTAACGCCTACTAGTCTCTCTTGATCGAACGTGAATTGTATGTCACGGAGTGTAAACGCCCCAAGTTCGAACCTGCTCGTCACATTGTTGCTATACCTAATAGAAGTAGTGTCTTCTGCTGAGATATCTTGACTGGAAAGTCTTCAGTGTATCTCCATTTAGTGATATAATCGATCAATAGCTGTAAGTTCCATATTTCTAATTCGTGTAATTCTGAAACATGTATGCTTGACTTACGCCTGACCTTGAAGAATTCCAGAATTAATGGATGCTGGGATATTATTAGTAGTCGTGGGTGCAGTACATTGTACACTGAACTTATGGCTGATCTAGTTACGTTCAGATATTGATCTGACAGATGGTTGCGTTCTATTAAAAGCTTTAATACCGTCTTCGGCTCGTATGCCTTGGATTCAAGTTGGTTGTTATGGCACCAGTTAGCAAAAATACGCCATCCATATCCATACGATTTGCTCGTGCTAGGCCATATCTGTTGATTCAGGAAACTATAGGTATCTGCTGCAACTCCATCCTCTTCCCTTTTGTGCTTGATAACCTCCAGGCGATCAAATTCCAACTTTTTATCTTCATTGTTATCAGCGAGGCGATCGACTTCAGCCTTGTCAGCATGAATCACCAATACTATGTCGGCCACAGTGAAGTGATCAGGGCTGCTTCTTGAACCTTGATGGAGCACAGTCGTCGTATCATCTTAGGGATCAGTCTCCACGGTGGATTCAAATACAAATCCTTCTTCGGCCAACTCTGTTGAAATGCATCCGCTGCTGTCGCTAACGGGCCTTGACAAAGGCTGCAATAAGTCGGAAGCCGGTGATTAGTTCTCGATGCAAAGGCATCTATCTACATGCTCCTCTTTCCTCATATATGCTGTAGGCGCTGGAACCAACGTCTGGGTAATGCCCATTCATAGATTGTAATTCATCAGAGCTATCTGATGTTCCTGAGAAGTTCTTCTTCGTCTTGATCCTCATATGTTTGTCGTATGTCATGATAGATGCTGGCGATTGCTTTGGCGCTGGTGCGGAGGCGTTCAGCGTCTTTATACTTGGAGTTGACGTGTTGGTAGACATCAATCTTTCGTTTCTTAAGCTCTTGGGCGAACTCTTTGTTAACATTTTCACTTGTTGTCCATTCTCCACCTTCAATTTTTGGAACCTCGCGAACAGATAGTCAAATATTTGCTTGTATGGTACTGGGCGAAGACTCATCCAGCTCCTGTTGCATGTCTTGGTGGAGGAGAAATCCCTCGGCTCGCTCAGCTTCCTCGAGCTTAAGCTTTTTGGCAAACTTTTTGTAAAGTTGTTCGACTCCGGTTCTGGCGTAGATTTGCTCATTATTATTCAATGGGATATTTTGCATATTTGTACCACGATGCGCGGCTTTAAGAAGATATGAAGAATAGATGTATTTGTTTTTTATTATTATATATACTGAAAAATAAAGCGGCTTAAGGAATTTTATGCCACCACATGTTCGTTATTCACTTCGGCAACTGCCTGATTCGTGCGAGTAGCAAAAGGTTCTTTGTGTCAAGGGTAATTTTAACATACAGAATTTTACCAAAAACCAAACAAAAAAATTAGACGAATTAAAATTCATTTTTGTACATCTCATAATAGTTCGTCCAAGGGTGATATTTGATTGCACTCACATCATCATTTTTTGGAGGTTATGTATGTTTAGATGCTTACCCTGCCGCGGCGAGATGTGGCAACCACATTCAAGGTGGTGCTTTGTCTTTGAAAGACATTAGGACGACCGTCACCGTTCCAAATAGAGGTCGCTATGGCATACATGTTTTTCGCTGCCATCACATCACGATTCCAAAAAATATCACATTTCTTGCAAAACGATATTTGGTGGATATAATAAGCATTTTCCCCTGTTCCAACTTTAAGATACTTCAGGTCTTGTTCACGGCGGGAATTGCAGGTCTACATATTAAAATAGAATATTAGAGTAATATTTCTATAGCATGAATATGTATTTAATTTGTACTAACTTTGGGAGTATTCTATTCGCTAATGTCAAGAAGTAACAGTTCACCAAGCTTTTCGCGAAGCTTGAGCTGTCTGTATAGCTTATCGGAGGCACCCCATCGTAGACTTTTGAGCTTCACATGATCCTTATTTTTAGTTACTTAAATTCATACAGTCTTTTTAAAAAGTAAAGTCGAATTTTTGCGGTTTTATAGTATAATTTATACGAAAAAGCGACAAGTCAGCGCGACATCTCTTTCTGGAAATGGTGTAAAAGAAAACAGCACAGTTCTGACTTCAATTTTTATTAAGTAAGAAACCGAACTATATGTGACTGTAGAACATAATGTCTACCGTTTCCATTGACTGGTTTAGAAGCAGTGATTAAGTTAGTGTACCATAGCACGCTATCCATTATTTTATTTACTTAGTCTTATATAAAAAGTTACATTTTGTGAAGGCTCAAGTTGCCTGGACATGAGCCAGGGTCTTTAATCTCTTATTAACGTGAGTGTCAAGCGGATGGTTATGGGGTTCTCTTTGAAATGCAAACAGTCCCGTTTCAGTTAATACAAGGTCGTTCCTCATGATGTATAATGGCTCCGCTTGATGGTGCTGTTCAATCTCTAGTTTTGTCAAATAATCCATCCTTAGTTCCTGCATTATGGTAAGTATATATTAAAAGAATAGCTTTGTCATATTGTTTCAAAATACCTCCAGATGCTTTATCTGAACAAAGCAAATAGGACAGTGCCAGAGCTGAAGGTCTGCATGATGATCAAAAAATGTAGAGGCATCAAAACACGATTTATGTTTGCAATATATGCTTTTCACTGGGTGCTGTAGCCTTTTCTGTGTCAGTGGGTCCTGCAGTAGGCTAGATTCGATCATTTCCATGTCAAAGCTTCTTTTTCCTCTATCGTCAACACAAGTAGACATACACGTCATAAATATATCCTCTGTACTATCTAAATGGCCACTTTCTTTCTGTTTCAATACTTGTATCATCATTTGCTGAGTTATTAGCGGATAAGGACTTGACTGAATGGATTTGTACATGATTTCTGTAGCTGTCTGCATATACAGCTGAGATACCAACTACATAAAAGTGTTACACTTGTCCTCACTTGTTAGAAATAGATGTACCTCGTTTGAGGGTATTCTTAACACTGCACATATAGATATGTGACTTATATTTCGCTCATTTTCGTCTGCTAGTTCAACTTCAAGGCTTATATATCGCCTCAACTCTGCTTTCTCTGTCTCATTTGTCACTGATCTTCGTCGAACGTACTGTTTAATTTGTTGACTAATGTCAATATGCATAAATCCTCCATTTACAAGTTTCTACAAAAACCGAATATGAATCACAGTGTTGGCTTTGACATTCTTTATGTTCACCTGTTGCCTCCCTGTCCACACCTGATTCGAATTTATAATCAAGGACTTACACAGAGGCTTCAATAATGTCTTGGTGGAATTCCACAAGTAAAGGTGATATTCAATATTTTGTATCGACTTATTGTCATTTACTGCATCAATTCTATCAATTGATTTCTTCAAGATATGCACAGGGATCTTAATAGTGTGCTTCAATAACCGCTGCTCATTTTGCCAATTCACATCAACACGAAACACTTCATCCAGCCTTTCAAACATTTCGGTCGTCGGCGCATAGTCGTACGCTAATGGATCCACTGTGCCATACTCCTTTTCTCTACTATAAGAAAATGAGTCCTAACCGATTCTTGTGATTCTATTTTAATATTACCACTCTCGATAATCTCGGTACGCAAAATTTCTGGCTCTAGCCGCTGAGTATCCAGGATAAATGGTTGATAACAAGTATTTTCCTAGCCGATGCGTCTGTAAATCGGCTATCAGTGGTTCTTTATCATGTAGAAGATGGTGCTCTGAAAGATAACGATAAATAGCCTCCAGCTTGCGCTTCTTTAAACGAAACAGCATGGTAGGGACCTAAAGAGAGGTCAATTGAATTAATCCAAGATAAAGTTGAAGATGCCTACGAGTTCTCTTATATGAAACTTCATGCCTATGATCTCTCCAAGCTTACATATCTGTTCAGCAGTTAAGATATGTGGTTTTTGTCTAAGGCTGCTTTTTCTATTGTACAAAAGGTTCATTTAATGGGGCTTTAAAAAAAAAAAAGAAAAAATCGATCTGTATTATGCACTTTTTTTTTATCTATTGTTTCAGGGTGACTTAGCTCCTTATTTGGCAGGTATTGTCAAAAGAAAATCACTCGAGCCTTTAGACTACTGAGCTTTGTATTCCTGATCTGCTTAACCCTCCTTTAGTTTTATCTAAAATATTTTTTTACTGGCTTCAAATCCTCTAACTACACTCAGTCCTCATACAGCTGAGTGAAAGTATCCTTCACAAATGACTGCAAAAAGAGAGCACATATCATATGACTAAAGCACATTTTATTATTACAAAAAAAAAAAACTAAGTCTATCTGCAGCACCTTCCTTTTCCGATAGTCCTACATAAAATCAGTCTCACCAGCATAGCTATTACGTTATCAATTAACCGTTAATCTAGGGTAGCACTTGACCCTTTCTTATTTCAAAAGACCCATGAAGCTCTTATGTGTGTTTGAACATGAATTGTATAGTTAGACAAGAATAGAAAAGGAAGAATGATGGCCCTACATTTATTTTATACTCAAAAATATCAAGCTCATTTTATGTATTATTACATACTGTCTTTTAAACAATAAAGAAGACATAGAAAATCAACTAAAATATTAATTGTTATTGATCTTGTAATATGTGCGAGTAATTTCTGAAAAAATGCACTGTAAAATACAAACTCTGATTTAATACAACTTATTGAGTAATGAAGGATTGGCGGTAAGATTATCCATAAGTGAGTTTGCTTTTCCATATTTTTCTAGTAAGTCTGCTTCTACTGACTTGTCTTCTTGTTTCATCAACGACTGACCAGGGTCAAATAGGGCAGCCGATAATAAAGCCTGCTGATAAAAGTCAGTCAGCTGCATGAGCGCTTCCGGACTTGGTGTGCTTTGATAGGAGAAGTTTTGACTACCACTTCCCTCGCTTAAACTATCCAGCTCTCGCTGTTGATCAGAAAGTGGTGGGGCCAGGATAAAGTCCTGCAACATGTTTGATGGATATTCATCATGAGCAGTGGAGCTACCTTCCTCTGTGTCTTTAGTGACGCTCAGGTTACAATCGTCATCTTCAGCAGCTGGAGAAAAACAGTAATCGTGAAAGTCAAGGGTCACGGTTGTTCCCGAATAACAAGAATCTCGTCGCTGCTTGCTTTGAGCATCAAATTCTTTTTGTTTCTCTTCCAAAACCTTTTCAGTCAATAGCACTACCTTTTGGTCTGTTGTTGATGGTTCAGGTTCTGCGGGTGCGAATGATGGAGGCTGGCGTGGTGCAAATTTACGAGGCTTCAGGTCTGTAGTGAATTGATATCTATACATATCCAGTGCACGCTGCAGTAAATTTTTCCTATTCGCCAATTGCCGAGGGTTTAACCAGGCCTAATTTAAGTTAGTACAGGGTTTAAAGAAGGGGGGCGTGCCGAATAAAACTTACAAGTTTCCAACCAATCTCATTGCACTTTATTTCATCTATCCGTCTTTGACTCAAATTGGGTGTATCGGGTGCAATCGCCATTGCTCTAGGAAACACACAGTTATTCTTTCTGAATTCCATATCAACAGCATCCAAGAGAACTGATTCAATATTGATGCGAATGCGACATTTATTTCCATTCTTTTCTTCAATGAGGAGCGTTTTGGGTATTTTATCATTATCGGATGAACATTTCATTGATTTTCCAGGAGGTGTGTCTTCATCCTCACGGTGTTTACGTTTGCGTAGTGTTCCTTTCAGTAACTTCTCCTGTCTGGCTACACGTCTGGACCGCATACTAGGATATCTGTTTCTATATGAATCGACTGCACGCTGAATAAGTCCTCGTTTGCCGGCTAGTTCTTCCATATTTAGATAAGCAAGTTTCCATCCAAGGACGTTACACTCAGTTTCATACGTCCATCTGTTGCCTTGATATACTTCTCTTGGAAGATTAGCTCGTGGATACACCTAAATAATGATTAAGATGTCGTAGAATACAACTAAAATTGTCTTTACGCAGTTCTCTTTTTTAAACTTTTCGTCCAGTGTGCCGATATCCACTTTATCGAGATCTGTTCTTATACAATATTTACGTAATGTACGATGATGGGAGTATACGAAACTGACCCATTCAACGCCATCACGCAATTCTGTTGTTGGCTCGTGAATGGATAAATAGGATGACTTATTACTGCTGTTATTGTTTGGGTTTGTTGACATCGTCTGCTCTTGTGATTTATTTTTTTCTGTTTTTAAACCAGAGATAAGACAAGGATACGTAACATAGGGGGGCCATGGTGTTTACCTTCGTTCAATTTCTTTGCCTTTATCTTATTGACTGCTTCTTCAAGTAAACTAAGCTGTTCATTCGATAATGTTTCTAATAATATTTCTGCTTTTTCAGTTGGATATACAAGGTCGTTAACAGAGAGCTGTAGTTCAGGGCTATTCATATCATTGTTGGTTGTCATAATATATTAAAAGAGAGAAGGGGAAGGGAGGATTTTATATAAAAATAGTAAAATAAAAGTGGGGGTGGTTGTAATAGTGGTTTGGGTTAGATAAAATATAAGTTTCGCGTTTAAAGAAGAAAAAAAAAGAGAAAGTTTTTCTTTTTTCCCTGTTATTTGTATGGGCTCGATTAAATTGTATTCATGGATCAGCAGTCACGAATCTGGGTCTTTTTAATCCATTGTTTTTTTTTTTTCTTTGTCAATGAAATCGTCTTTTAAAGAAACAAGCAACAGGTCTTACCCAAATTTGAGATAACCTAGTCCTTTTTTAGACATGCTTCAGCATTGATCATCCCTTCATTGGCACATCAGACGGTATCTTTCGCTTTAGTCTTGTATTTATTATTTTTATGATGTTCATCACGAGCTATACTTAAAAAGCTACACCTCCGTCTACAAGTATTTATACAGCTTTCTCTGCTCTTTCGGGTTAAATGGGGTTTTCAACAAGGCACCTCAAGGCTCTCTTGACAGATTGCCATTAGATTTCAATAAGCGAATTACGGTATGCTTTGCACGCCAGTCAGCTCATTTCAATTAGAATCAATGCTTTTATCGTTAATCTAAAAATGAACGTGAATACTTTTGGGACTCTTTCGAAATATGAGGCTTTCCATGCAAAGGGCATTTAGCCAATGTCTTGGGAATTTATTACTTAGCTTGTGTTAAATGTGTTGTGCCATCACAACATTATCAATAAATATTTGTAGTAATCGTTATTCGGTTAGGAGTTCTTCCATATATGACCTATCTATGTGAACTTACTCTTAGGGCGCCGTTACAATATCCATATGAAATGTCTGTGCTCTAACTTCCAGGACAACGGTTCCTTATTCGACAAGACATTGTCAGATCATGTATTACCTCATCCACAAGGCACCTCGAACATACGTCGAACCAATAGTTAATACTAGTTAGGTTCTTCCCAGTTATTCCCATTGTAGCTGGACGCTTATAGGTACGCTCTCGATATCCAATTATCATTATTGATTGTAGATGTTAAAAGTATAAATACCATTGTTTTATTCATCGTAAATAAAGATATCATATATTTCAGTCTCACTGACTTATTGTCCTTTTTCTATTCTCTTCTCATTAGTTTTTGTCTCTTACCTTTGTACTTGGCAAAACAAAATGCATGCATCGAATTCTGATTTTCATTAGTAGCTATTCATTAATCTAAATACTGAACGCATAGAATGCGCAACTTGAATGAACATCATAACAACATTACATCTGGTCAGATGTTGCATCAAGCACATCAATACATGTTCAAATTAAAAGCCATAGCAAATGTACCAGTACCATTATTCTGTATTAAATTTACTGCACGATCGCAACTACAATTTTGTGCTTACGAGATAATAGTACTCTTTCCAAAATCGTCAGATTCGTCTACGATATCGTGCGTGCAAAGGAGAGGAATCCTTCTGTTATAGACGACAAAGACGTGCAGAAATACAAGCCCCGAATCACGTGAGAATCACGTGAGAATCACGTGAAATTTCTAAAATATATAAATCATTAAGTTCAGCTCAAAAAAATTTGACAATTTGACCGAGAGGCCTAAGGTGGCAGACTCGAAATCTGTTGTGCTCTGCACGCGCAGGTTCAAATCCTGCAATTGTCGACATATTTTTCCATATTTTTCCTTATGGTTACACAAATTTCCAAATATGTTGATGCCGCTAAAGTGTCGTTTTCTTTCACAGAGATTCTTTTTATGAAAATCAATAAGTATGTCAAAATAGCAAGTTAAAAAAGCTCGTCATTTTATTTAATAAAAATGAAGACTTATTTATATTATTTAACATATGCTGCGGGTGTTGTTCTATTTGCTTAAGATTATGATTAATGATGTCAACAATTACTGCGGAGGATGATGTCGATAGACTTCTGTTAAGCTGCGGTTGAGCTGCGGTTATCATCTTGTCAAAGTATAGTCAAAAAGGGAGTATTATGTAACATACTAAAAGTGGCATAAAAAGTACGACAGAAGCAATTTTTGCCTTGTCTAAGTTCAAAACTCATAGGAGTGGGTGTGGGGTAAAGAGAGACACCCACAGCTGGATGACCGACGACCCACTCGCCTGTCCTTACCTTGGTCTTTTAAAAGCCTCCTACCTCCATGGCCATACCCCTCCGACTTGGACAGCCTTGTCTTCCTTGTGTGACAGATTTGGCACTTTTGCACCACCTAGGGAGCATTAGTACTCCGTCAGTCATGACTGACTGTGCCTAAATATACTGAACGCAAAAGATGCCGATAAGGGTAACTCTGTGGAACTGAAACCTGACAACTTTAGTTGATAAATTAACTTTAGTTAATTTAACAACTAAGGTTAACTTATCAACAACCGTTGATTTCAAGAAAAGGAAAGCCAGCAAAAATCAAAAAAAAAAAAACTGGCAGTTCACCTTATCTTTTTATTTTATCATATACAATAAACAGACAACCTTTTTGGTTATAAAAGTTCCTGATCTCTTCTTTTTATCTTTTATTTTACTTTATACTTCACAGTTTGATCAACTTTAAAAGATCTGGTGGTCACTTCAAACACCTAAACCTATAAAATCTCAAGAAAACTCTCTATATTAACAACAACCCTTACAACTCCTAAGGAGAATAACAATACAATCTTACAGTATAAATACTCTTGCTCGTTGCGTCCTTCTTGGACAAGACATTGAATATTTGAATAAAACTATCCCTCTATCCTTATATTCTTTCACCTTTCTTATAAATCCTTTCTTTAAAAGATTTATAATACTTTTTTTATTTTCTTTTCTTTTCATTATTTACTTAAAATCCTTTCCGATCTAGTACCAACCTCATACTACTGATCGGAATAGTCCTTGTACCTTTTTATTTTTAACCAATTACTTTATTTTTATATTTTATAACTCAATTGCTTATTTGATTTGTTATAGATCTGGTGGTCACAAACAAGCAACCTACTCGTACAAGAATATCTAACTTTTACAAGACTTAACGTCTCCAAAACTCTTTAAATCCTACTTTAAACTATTATATATAAGGTAACCTAACAAGACATAACCCGCCACATTGTAATTAATCCCGAGATCAGTAATTCCCATGTGTATTCCTCAATGTTTTATTTCCTAATTATGCAACTTAATTGCTTATTTGATGGTCGTATTTAATTTGACTTTACAGATTAAGCTCACAGCACCAACAGCTCGTTTCGTCAATACACCTTTTATTTCTGTAGCCAATTATTCCCAGCTTTACACCTCCAAAAATAATGACGTGCTGCATTTACACTGTAAACATCGACAATCTATTCAGAAAAAGGTGTATATTGTTGCCTAATCTATCTAGGAAAAAAGAGGCGAACTAGAGTTGGCACACAATAGTGACATCAAACAAGATCGTGCTCAAGGAATCTACGCCTTTACTTCCAACTTGTCAGAAAGTAAAGCTAATACCGCCGCTGTATTAAAGATAAAATTAATGTGGATGAAAAAGCTTTACACTTTGTTATTCTTCTTTCTTCCTGAACTCTTATCGTCGAAACAGTTCTTTCATCAATTGATTCAACCTTCAATATACCTCAGCAGCAAGTTAATATTCGACATTTCATCAAAAGCATTGAAAAAAAATAGTACTCTCATTGACGTCACTGACATCAAAGACCTGAATCTCGCTACGAAAGCATTCCAAGCCTTCAATGATGCTTATTAGTAACGGAGACGCGATTTACTTTGAAAGATCTCTCAGCGCTCGCAAACATCTCAACAGGACATTTATTGAGACCCAATAGACTCTAGGCAGTAAAGAACATAATACACTGGTTAATGAAGGCATCGCTCTGGCCGATAGTAATGTAGTCAAAGGCTATCCTCATCTGCCTATGGATGCTTAAATTGTTCGTTTGAAACTTGAGCGTTTACCTCTGCAACCTATTAAAAAATTGACTAAAGCCATGGAGACTCGACTATTCTGTTTTGGTGTTGGTTACGCTATTTTGAATATTGGCCCCAAATCTAGCCCTGGAAATACTTTGAAAACACTCAAGAGAATAATGGGATCTAAACCAAGAAAAAGCCTATGATAGAGTTCGTCCGCTGTATCTCAAGAAGACTCTCCTTCGTTTCAGATTTTCTTCCATCCTCATAGACTCTCTGGGTGTCCCAGAAAATGGTCCTGCAATGAGACGAAATGCCTCCATTCTGTCATATCTGCCAGTCGGGAGGGGGGAAGGGAGGGCCACTGTCGAGCTGACTGTTTCGATCTGAGAAATTTCACGGAATGCTATTATTTTATCCTACGTATCTTCAATATCTCAAACATTTTTTATTGTTAATTACTGTCCATCATGAATTATATTTACTTCTATCGCTAAATGCTCGAGTTATGTTATTGCACAATATCAACACATCCAAAGGCCATGTAGAATGGAACACTTGGAATAGTAACCAAAATAACAAAAGATTTCTTGGTGTACAAAAAGGACAACAGTCAGGAAGAAGCCCCAAAAGAATGATGAGATATACATCTGATAACCAATTCATTTTCAACGATTCACAAAGTACAACGTCTAACAGTGCCAAAAGTTGCTATTTCACTGAAGCACTTTAAACATTATGACTCACTTTACATTGCAATGCTAAGAGTTCGAGAAGCGGGAAACTTGAGATTTTTGTCTACAAGCAAGAATATAACAACATTTCTATCCATACAAATCAACAAATAATAGCATCCATAAAAGAAATAGAGGCCCATTTATTTATTTTTTATTATATCTTCGAGGAACAAACCATGGCTTCCGTTACTTCCGATAGAACTATCAATCCAGCATTCTCGGATGGTTCTTCTCCTTCTGATCTTGGCCGCAACTCGGATTCCATGTTGGTTGACTCGGCTTTGCCCTTGTCTTCTGCTCGAAGGGAAGAGTACTTGATATCTACGAATTTAGCCCAGACAGGAGGCGAAACGGTGGGTTACCTCGAAGCTTTTAGTTATGCAAGAGGTGCAGGTGATGATACGGCCACCGACGGAGCACTCACGGAGATGAAGTGTACGAAAAGGCAGATTGCAGCCATTCAAGAGTACAGCTCTGTCTTCAAGAGCATAGATCTGCGCAGTGATACCAAGACTAGTGGTAGATCTGGCATGACTTTGTCTCACAGGGATCTTCAAAGTTCCAATTGGCCTCTAGCTTAGAGGCTGATTACAGATGGAACCCTACAAAATATGTTATACTAGATAACCATTCCTAACCTATTGAATACAAATGGAATATGGCCTAGCTATTGACCTTTTCTCCAATTCCCAGGTGCAAAGATTCGAAGACATTCAAAATAGGTGCATAAGGATGATGTGCATAAGGATGATCTATGGTACTCGCGATCGTTTTTCTATCAAAGTAATGTTGCATTTGGCAGACATTCCTACTATGAACGAAAGAGTACGTATTCTATAGGCTTAATTTTTTTTTTTCGCTTCCTGGATGTGCCGGACAAGTCTCTGTTTGGTTACCTTCTCCCACATGTACAACACCTTCGAGGATATTAGTGGCCCAACATCATTAAAGCTGCCCTTTGGCGCGGCCTACCTACCCCTCAGAACAGCCTAACTATTCGTGCCCTCTACTTCATCAAGCAGGACTATTTACAACAAGGCTTACGACAACCAATACATGGTTATGAGTCAAAGCTTCTCTCATTTTGGTACCCCCAATCTATATATTGATCCAGCCCTATATCAAAGCTGCTGGAGTATTTTGGTACTGGTGTCAAAGTGTTATTTGTTCAACTACAACACTATAGCATGTTAGCTAGAAAAAGCTCGTTTCAGTTAAAACCATCGTTTTGAATATTTATGGAATCGAATAGTAATGCCTTTTTGATATGTGTGTTAATATGTAACCTTGTGGATACCCATGGCACACCAAGAGCGTAGCTGCTGTATTCGTTCACACCTTGGCTGGTTGCCTGGAGGCCGATCACGGTCATATCCAAGACACATCTCTCTTGTCTGCTTACCCAGCCACACGTCATTGAATGCATTCAGATGCACTGAAGATTATACCTCCCGCTCTCCATCTTAGATCTCCTGTCGTTCCTCCTTAATAAGCTACCTTTGAGCCCTCGGATTTATCCCAAGGTACGCTGACCCTTGGCGGTTTTATTGGCCGATCATCTGTTCTATTCTTTCTGAAGTAGATCTGCTTCAATACGGCTGCTTCCCACAGGAAATCAATTCTCTAGGCGAGCGTTTCCTCCATTGACTTGATGGCATCGACAAACCTTTTAGCTCCTTCCACCATTCACTTTCACTTCACTTTTTTTGTCCTTGCTCCCTAAGGAGTTTTTAGTTTCCATTACTTTGTTTCTGGAAGGTATTATCTGTTCATGATCTTATGATAATATGGACACAAGAAGAAGTCAATAGAATTTATTTATCTGTTCTTTGCTATGAAGCTTAGTAACAGAAGGGTGGTTATTACAACCCAGGTCGCGCTTTTTTTTTATTTCCTTCTCTCTAAAGACTCATTGTATTGTTGAATAGTAGTGATTATTACTCTCTTCGGTAGTAATATCCCCTTATAGAAATCTATAAAATAGAATCAATGCGTATTTATTTCTAAAGTCGAAGTTTGGATGTTTACATTTGCATGGAAACTAAAGGGGTGTTACTATCATTCAAAACTCCAGAGTCATCATAAAGAGGCCAGAATCTCTTTATGACTTCCTTTCAATATTTTGCGTTTATTTTACTTGACGTTACTTGAGTTAATAATATTATTGTATAATTTGTATTAACTAAAAGACTAATGAATAACGTATTGTTTATTTTATACTTATCGAGGCGTTAAGGAATTCACTGCCGTTGATCAACAGTCCAAATATCTGCATCGTCAACTATATCAACAAACTCCTTGGGCGCCTTTGGTTCACTTCTAGGCTCATCTTGAATGGAGACAGATTTCTTAAACATAAATGATATAGCATATCCATCAGTGATGATCATATTTCTACAGTGATAACGTTTGTTTAGTTCAAAAATAAAAGTCATGTAAGCATACGTATGCAAACTTCTTTGAACATGAACTCAAGCTTTCAAATGCCTTGTAGCCTATTTTTGAAAAATCAAAGATATTAAAGTACCATAAAGTTAAGTTATTATTCACTCTTTTGACCTCGTTTGATCTCGTTGTCACATTGTTTGGCAAGCTTCCAGAAAGATTGAGCATCAATCTGTATACTCTTAGGATCAGCCTTGTACAAGGGAAGTAAAGAAAAGTATCTTGATCCTCGAGGGTCAGTGTATTTGAGAGGTATGAAGGCCATGACTTGAGTTCTTGCTTGTACTGTTTTGATAAAGATTTGAACAGTGTCAATATCCTTCTTATCAATATTTCTAAGCTTGCTTGTTATTTCCAAGGTCTTGTTGGAATTGATAACGGTCAATGCATTTTCTTTCAAATTCTTGACAAAAGGAAGCTCTTGTAACTTTCTATGAGCATAACTGCTTGATGCTTTGTCTTGAGGTTTCATTTCTTGGATGAACTTCTTTTGTTCTATTTCTTTCTGTATAAAGTGTAACCATTTCATGTGGCATCGAGGCTTGGCATACAGATTAGCTTCACTTTGTACGTCAGTATCATTGGAAGCATCGTACATTGACCAGAAAGTAAGAAAGTTATTGGCAGTGGTTTCATATCGTTCAATTCGGTCAACAGTGGGTGATCAGGAAGACTCGGGATTTATCTTTGCTGAAAGATATGCTTTGCTAAAGGCTTGCGCTGCGTGACCGTTAAGCGATCATCACAGAAGTAAAGAGAAGTCTTTTCTGATAAGACATTAAGGATATGTCTGAGAGCCCTGTCTTCGTAAGTAGAGCATACATAATTACGGACTAATGTTTCATACTGCTTAGCCATAGAACATACAATGGTCATATATCCTTTACTTGCGTACTTATCCAAATCCGATTGAGTAAGAAAAGTAGGTTCACAAAAGGCTTTGAAGCACTTCTTGGTACTATCAGAGGCATGTGAGAAGCCCCAAGAGATAGTAATTAGCAAAGATGGATCCAGTGTATACCAATTGAGTGACATGGTCAATTACTTCTTGAATCAGGGTAACGAACTTGGGATATCTGCAAGTATTAGCCAAAGATTCCTTGGTTATAGAAGTTTTCTCGATGGTATCCCTGGGCTTTGGAAACTCCGTTTTTGATTTATTCATAGGACACAATTTGCTGAAGGAGCGAGAGTGATCGGTTCCACCACAAGAAGTACATCGTACTTGTTTTTGCTCAGTACCTGTCGCCTTGTTCTTTTCTTTCTCCTTTTTAAGCGCTTCGGTCTTATCAACCTTGTCTTGATATTTCTTGGAGGCCTTGACAGGAGCAGAAGTACGGCTAGTAGAAGGAGGAGGAGCGGATAATACATCTTGAACACACGTATCGTTATTGCCTGCAGGTATAGATTTGAGAAATCAGGAGCAGATGTGTCTTCTTTAACAGCTTTCAAAGTAGTATGGACGTTCTTGCCTATTATAATATTCAGTTATAAAACAGATGGTAATAATAGATATCATCTTTACCTTTTCTAAGCAACGACGTTTCTTGAAAGTCATCATCATTTGCTTCAAAAGTTGCATTTTTGAATAAATTTGTTTGCGTTTGTGCAAACAAAGAAGGGAACCCACGATCGACGACTAAATGAACCTTTAATAAATGCCATATTCAACTTTATAGCTTACATGCCTTTCCCCTTATTTCGCTTCATGTTGAAGTAAAAAAAAGAAAAAAAGAAAAGTAACTGTGGATAGCCTTGTTATGTTAAATTAACGATCGACAGCATTTTTTATTAATTGATCATGTTTCCTTTAATAGTAAAATGTTTCTACAATGAAAAAAGCACACCACTCTTGACACATTGTACATTTTACTGTGATCCTCAAAGCATTTTATTTATAAAAGACATGGATAAGGATACTAAAATGGCACAAGGTGGTCATGGGCCATCATCTAACATAAGGAACAATGGTCGAAGAAGCAACAGTAAAGAGGGAAAAGAAGAGGTACAAACCCTGACGTCACTCATATGTTCCATGAGGAAATAAAAATACGTAGTGGGTGGGTGTATATGCAGCATGTGTCTGGCTTATACGTTGGGAGTACTACTCAAAATTCTGTCCTTGACGGAGACTATCATTTCTATTGCTGCTTCTCAAGGTAAGAACGATGCCGCGGAAGTTCCTGTCGCTATACTCAATAGGAATAACTGCGGCAAAGTCCTCCATTGTGGGTAAATCCTGGACACGCCTGTCGCCTCCTTAATGAAACGCATTCTTATCGATGGATTTATATAAGGTGATCTGCTTTCGGTAGAACGGTTGTTATTAAATCTATCTTCACTGTTGCTGCTGAAGCTTTCATGGTTGCTTAATATCTCATGCATGACGATAAACGTGTGCTAAGGGATTGCACTGGGAAAGCACAGTTGAAAGATTTTCTATAACCTCCTGCTTCATATTTTCATTCCGTACATCCATATTCTCTGCTCTCCGTGCGCTTAGACAGAGTCTTTTCCCAAGCCGAAGAACAGCGCAAGCTACTCTGCAGTTGATACCAAAGATTAGCCACATTACCTTTGGGCCTCGCGACGATCTATCAGTCTTGGGACCTCAGGTGCCAGCGCCTGATAGATTTGACAACAGCTTCTTTTGGATACCCCATGTGCTCATTGGACAATCCCAAATCCTACGCGGAAATCCAATGCAATGCCTATTCCAACTGTCAAGGTATCTTCTAGTCAGCTCCGATTCTTATGACACAAAGACTTTGATTTGCTAACACACCACGCCATCCGCCTTTGGCTCTGCCTCATTCACTGCTTCTTCGACCTCAGTATTGGCAAACTTTTTAGTCTCTGACTATACATCCCAAAGCCTTCACGCCATGGTTTCGTCTGCTACATGGCTACATTCCTACGGCTGCTTTACAGCATGCCTGGAATCCTAACGTGACCATCTCTCCATTGTGCAGACTCTGTCAACAAGACATTTAAACACACCACTATCTCTTTGCGAGCTGCTCCTCAAACTCAACTTCTGGTCCTCCATTTTTAAGAGATATGCTCTGCCGGACAAGTTTCTTATTGCAGATGAAATATGATCTGTGCTCACTTTTTTTGTCCTGGTAGACGAGCAACAACAGTCGATACGAACGTTCTTTGTTTCTTTAGCGTGGGTATCGCAACTATATGGAAATACTACTTGCGGCGTGTTTTCGATGACAATCCGTAGTATGCAACTGCAGTTATCAACAGTTTCGAATTGGAGCATAGCGGATTCCTCTCGTCATTACCTTTTGAACGGAAGTTATCTTCTACGATAGACACATAATTATTTTAAATAAGGGTCATACTTTCATGCAAAAAAAAAGCATTAGTGTTATAGAATGATTAGCTTGTATTAATGAATTGGATTAAACTGGAAAGGGTTTAACTTAAGCTAAAGTCACCAAAGAAAAGTAAGAGCTGATGACTTGATTTTACATTGCTTCTCTTAACCCTGAGGCTTTTAAATGTACTATATCTAATAGCATTTGGATTTGCCAGACTAAAATAGAACACTTTATCAAAGTTAACTATATCTTCTTATCCTCTTGCATATTATTTAAATCAATAAAGAAAAATAAAAATTGATATTATATACACACATTAATTGAAATTGGAAAAAAAAGAAAGTAATTTATGCATAATCAAATAAAATCATTGCATTTTTACCATCTTAATAGCCATGTTTCATCCTGCACTGGTTCTCTAAGTGACAGGTACAGTCATTCCTATTTTTCCCACGCAACAAGCTTAAAATGGAAAATGAACAAAATTTCACACGGTGAGTTATATGGTTTGTTTATCTATATTTGATTCTCTCTTTCTTTCTTTCTTTCACTTCTTTTATCTTTAAAATGCTGAGAGCACATCTGAGACGTAGTCTACAAAATGTAGCTTTATTATCTCAAAGAAGGTCTTTTGCAGCTACTACAAAGGTTAGATTCATTTATATACATCATCTATAACAGATGTTAACTTTTTTTTTTAGCTTCTGAATAATGCTTCAGTCAATGTGGCTCAAACAACTAGTGATGAACCTGGCCGTTCCAATAAATCATTATGGGGCTCAACCGATCGATTCACAAATGAATTGAAATTTATGCAGCAGATCGAGTCTTTGAAGGCTTATCGAGTCATGGATCATACCGGCACTGTCTTGGATCCGGAACACGATCCCAATCTTCCAAGAGAAGAAGTCCTTAAATGCTACAAGAGTATGGTTCTACTTCATACAATGGATGGTATTCTGTATGATGCTCAACGCCAGGGTCGTATTAGTTTTTACATGACACACTATGGTGAAGAAGCCATGATTGGAACAGCTGCTGCTTTAAAGCCTGAAGATGTTGTATTTGGACAGGTAAAGTGTATTAGCTTAGATACATTGTATGTTTAATCAAATTTCTCCGTTCAGTATCGAGAAGCCTTTATGCTGGTCTATCGTGGTTTCACACTTGATGAGTTCCTTAATCAATGTTTCTCAAATGAATTAGATTATGGAAAAGGACGACAAATGCCTGTCCACTATGGTTCCAAGAAATTGAACTTTCAGACAATCTCTTCTCCACTTGGCACACAGATCCCTCAAGCATCAGGCGCTGCATACGCATTAAAGCTTTCCGGGGCCAATGCTTGTACATTGTGTTTCTTTGGTGAAGGTGCTGCATCCGAAGGTGATTTCCATGCTGGTTTGAATATGGCTGCAACCTTAAAATGCCCTACCATCTTTTTCTGGTAAGGAAATTATAGTTTATCTCGTATAGCTTCATTCTAACATTCTTTTTTTAAAAAAAGCCGTAACAATGGCTTTGCTATTTCAACACCATCCTCTGAGCAATACAAAGGTGACGGTATCGCCAGTCGTGGTATCGGCTACGGTATCGATACTATTCGCGTGGATGGTAATGATATTTGGGCCATTTATAATGCCACAAAAGTAGCCAGAGAGATTGCTGTCAAGGAGCAGAGACCTGTTCTGATTGAAGCAATGACTTATCGTATTGGTCATCACAGTACTTCTGATGATTCTACCAAATATCGTGATAGAAAAGAGGTTGAAGAACGAGCACAGTTTGACAACCCTATCACTCGATTACGAAGATACATTGAAGCCAAGAACTGGTGGAGCCCACAAGAAGAGGAAGAGTATCGCAAGTCAGTAAAAAAGGAAATTTTGAAAGCATTTAGTGCTGCAGAAAAGAGAAAGAAGCCTGCTATTAAGCATCTATTTACTGATGTTTATGATGACTTAACACCCAACTTGGTTAGACAACAGAATGAATTGAATGAGCTTATAAAGAAATACCCAGAATATTATAATACAGATGATTTCGCTTCATCATAATCTTTGTCATCCTATTTATACAAGTTTGGTTTACATGTTTATATTTTAAAAAATAAAAAAGAATCTATTGTCTACACAAACATGAATAACACTTGTTCTAATAATCTCACTGTCTGAATCCATGGGAGCAATAGTCATGGGTCTATTGTCTGTTTGCAAGTTGACGTTTAATGATAATAAAAGCGCCCTTTATGCACACACACATTGCTTTTCACCTGTTACTCAGATATTCTCTTTTTTTTTTTTTTTTTTTTTTTTTTTTTTTT